TAGAGTCGCGACGTAACGTCGTCGCGAGCTAGCAAAATTTCCTGCTCGTTTCACGGCGCGAATTTGGTAGAGAAGCAAAAGGTCGAAATAACCGGGTGCCATTTTGGGAATAAGGCAGACCAAATTACCGGGTCGTGTCTAATAGCTATTAATTCCCCGTACACGTGTCACCTGCTCAAAGCCCGTCCAGGTGAATGCACGTCCCGGTTTATGGTTTGTTTTGCCGAGCGGGAGTTCAAAAGGAACCGCTCTCAGGCTCGTGTTCCGTTGATTATTTCACACTCGATTCGCGATCGACTCCTTTCTCACCACGTTCTCCTCCTCCTTGTTTCCTTTTCCTTTCCTCCTCTCCTCTGAGAAAGAGTAAATCATTTTGTTCACGCGCGTCGTTTTCTAATTTGTACGTTGTCGAAGGACAACGAACATAATGGAAACGGTAGCGTAGCGATAACGCGCAAGCGGGAAATTGTTCGAAGAATTAAACGGATCGCGAACGAGCGTAAACTCGAGAAATATATTGCGAGCCGCAAGGACGGTCGATAGACGGAAGAAAAGCGACCGATGACAGTCGGGAAATCTTTTATGTTCGACTGTTGTATCGACAACGAGTTTCGTCTCGATTATTCAGATTATATCGGAGCAACGATGTCAGAAGGCACGGTAGCAGAAGCGATTCGAAAACGGTTAAAACGGAGGAGCGCAGGAAGACGGACAGACGGACGGACAGACTCGCGCATTTTTAGATTATCGTAGATTCATCATCGCGGCCGCGAAAGCAGAGACGGATGACACGCGCTTGTAAAAAGAACGAGGCTGTTTCTTCCGGCGAAGGCCTCGCCGCGTCTTGAAATTGTCGACTGGCTTTACACGGGCCGCGACTAATCGGCCGACGACGCCTGACGCCGGGACGCCCCGCGTTGATGCTCATTCGACACGGACTCTATTCCCGGACGATCCGTTTCTTCCCGTACCCTCCTCGCATCGTTTCCTTTCCTTTCGCTTCTCTCCTCCTTCCTACGCGATTATTCCTTCTTCGTATATTTTATTTCCACCGGCAATTATCCAATCGTCGTTACTTGCTTTTCACCGGCGCAATAGGTATCTTTCCCGAGTAATAGGTATTCGAAAAACCAAGATTCGCCGAGGGATCGCTTTCTTACGACCAGCAGAATGCGGCGCGTTCGCGAAATCGTGACAAAGATTATATCTTGCGCGAGGACTAAGCGATCGAGAGCGGTTCGTAATTACCAGAATTTCGAACCCTCCATTAGCCCCGAAAGGTGAGAAATTGCTAGGTTGCCGTTGGATACGATTTTACTATGTATCACAGAAGGCACGAATCAAAACAGAATTCGTATTCTTTCGAACGCGTATAATCTAATCTGTAATTTAATGTCCGAAATTGAGTTACCGAGGAGGAGTCGAAATCTACGTTCGACGATCGAACGCGATTTCGACGAGTTACGACAAATAGTAACGTTATTATCCTATTTCGGGTAAAGCATTAGCCCGACGAATAGTCTTTACAACTTTCTCACAGCGAAGTAACGCGTTGTTTTTGTGCCCTCCTCTTTTTGTTTTGAAAGGGCGTCCGACCATCGGGGCTGATCGACTTACAAGTCCACGAGCAGTTTCGTCTCGTTTCGCTCTTTTCATCTTCGCCGACCGACAGACACTTTCGAACGACCACACGATGGACCACCGACTCCTTCGTTCGCTTCCCCAGGGTGAAAACAACCCCTGAACACCGTGAGAAATCTCCGCGCTAATTGCTACCTCTCGTATTCTTCGATTTAACAAATCGTTACCGCGTCTCGACCGACCACTCGACTCGAAACGAAAAACTAGCCTTTCCGTTCGAAAATCCTGTCAAACGTAAAGTCCGTCGAAAACGATTAAGTCCGCGATAAAATGCAACGAAGGAAATTGAAGCATTCGAGCGAAAGAATATCGGTGTGTTGTTTCGTGTATCCCTCGATATTCTCGACACTAGCTATCGAAGTTTCGGACGTGCACGTGGGCATGTACCGGGCGGCAAGAAAATTACAGAGTTGGGTCGCTATGCAACCGGCTACCGAACGTTCGATCGCCGACGATCTCGCCGCGAAACCGGTCATTTCGAAGATCGAGAAACGCGAGACTGGTTAATGCGTAAGCATTTAATTTATTCATTCACCGTGTGCCGACAGATCCAGCACCGTTCCGATCCTTGGTGGTCTCTAACCGAGGCCAGATGATGAGGTGCCCGATAGGTCGATCTCGCGCTGGCAAATGCGCTCGCTATTAAACTTTCGACTTCGCAATTTTCCTATTTCTACGTTACGCTCGCGCGTTTTCCACTCCCTCCATTTGGGCGTGGTATAATAGAGGAGAAAAGGGTCGAGGAGCGTGCGTGATCGCGGAAGTGGGTCGGATAGCTTCTTTTTTTCCGAGGAAAGGTGCTCGGAGGAGGAGCAGGAAAACTGAATAGAATTTCTAATCTGGCGCGAACGTGTTCGTAACGTCGAGTCTTGCTCGCGGTGTGAAATTTTAATGTACGTTGCACGACGAAATCGGTATCCCTCTCCGCGCGTATCTTTTACTCGACAATTTGGGAATTTCGAAAGTTACTTGACAATCCGAGATTTTAAAAAACGTTGCGCAAACTTTCGATTTAATGAACCTTGAAACCGATACGAAAACGTATTGTACGCGTGTGGTACTTTCGAACGGGAAATAATTCCGCAAATAGAGCAGAAAGCATCCCGTATGGGGCTAGAACGCGAACGTTACGAAATAGCTGTTGCAACTTTGTTTTCGGAAAGTGGAGCAAAGTACGCGCGAACTAGTGATAAGGGAAAGGTAAAACGACTTTATCGAGGCAGAGAACGCTTTTTCGAATCTGCTGCGATAATTAAAGAGCCCCGGTAGGAAAGTTTCAACGACAGGCGCAAATTAACCGCGAATTACTTGCAAAGCTCCACTTTTGATCCCCTTCGTAATTTCCTACACAGTAATTTTCTCTACGGACGGAATATTACGTTGTTCAGGAAGCCGTTGCCTTAATGGCCACTTTTATCGCCGACACGTTCCTTTTCTCCTTTTATTTTGTTCGCATCGAAGAGGAAAAAATGTAGGAAACCGATGGATTTTTCAGCTACGTAGACTGAAAACGCAGCGTGAAAATTTTCTATGCCGTTGTACGCGCGCCGATAAAATCGTACGAAACGCGGCACGCGAGCTTTAACCGCGAGATCGTGCTCCACTTTGCTGACAAATTGCCGCTCCTACCAGATATCGCCCGGTAATTAAGCTATAAATTGAAACGTTCCGAGGAGTAGGCCAGGGAACGTAATACCGAGATTACGAAATTGAAATTTTCCACTTTTCATCGGGGACGAGCACTCGCGACGTTGCGCCGATTAAAATTGAGATATCTCTAGGTAGGACAAATTTAATCGGAAACTCGGAGTCGAAAATATTTATAGACACTCGGGGAATTATAGCCTGTTGCGGAGGAAGAAAATGAAGCGACGGCAAAAGAAAAAAGTAGCCGATTCAATTTCAAGAGAGTCTGCCGCGTAACGAGAGACTGCTGGAACCAAATTATCAAGCGATGTTGTTATAATCTAATTTTGCACAGTGGCGCTATTACGAGAATATTTGCGAGGAGCTAATTCACTGATTCAGGTGGATCATCAATCTTGGTCAGGCCGGCTGGGAAGACGCGCGGAGCACGATGCGTGTGCTCTCGATCAAAGGAGTTTTTGTCAAAGCGATATTAATATGCAATTTTGTCGGTTCGTAGGCAATTATCGTAATCTAATGTCGAAATCGAAATTGAGTAATTTATTAACGAAAACGTATAATACGCTTAAACAATCTTTAATAGCTTCTACTTGAACCGACGCGGGTTACTTCGATTGCTTAATAATTCGAAGGTTGTCATTGGAGTAAGTTTAAGAGAGAAAACTCACCGTCGCCGAGTTTCGCCTCGTCTTCCGGATCTCGTCCTCGGAGCAGCCTGGAAATCGCAGAAACGCTCGGAGCGCTGGTCCTGTCGCAAATTCCCTCCTTGATCAGTCTATCCCGAATTTCCCACGAGAAAATTCCCGGATTATCGCGCTTGTACTCTTCGATCCTGGCCTCGACCTCCGGCGTAGCCACTCTTGGCTTACTGCCGCCGATCACTCCTGGCCTGATGCTCCCGGTCTCTTGGTATCGATTCAAAATCTTCGACACGCATCCGTGCGACACCCTCAGTTGTCTAGCGAAACGAACGAACAGTGATTAAGTACCGGCTCGACGTCGCTTTCGATTCGGAGGAATACGCGTTATCGAGCAATTCATCGAGCTACTAAAATTTTCTTTTACCTTGAAATAACGCAAGGTCTAACTCCGGCTGCGGCCATCTCGACAATTTTCAATCGAATGTGATTCGGCAACGGCCGTCCATTTATAAAGACACCCCCGAGCTGATTGACGCGTCCCTGACCTGGTATCGATCCTAAATCTGCGACAAAAGTCGTGCAAGATTAATGCAGAGATGTTGAGAAGACATTGAAAATAATGTACGAATAGTTATAGAGATAAATGTAAAGAACAGAAAAGGAAAGAAATTTTTTTCTCACCGAGGAACTGTATTTCGCTGTTCGACGATAAAGTATAAAGTAATTCGATTACAAAATATCGTATCCTTGATCGATTTAAGGTAACTTTTCAGAAACTTTACGAAACTATCGTTTTTCCGTTCGTGATCAGTCAGGATTCGTCGAAGGTTGGATTGCAAAATCTCGAATCCTTTTGCGAGCGAGCGAGCGCGCTTGGAAACAAAAGGCAAAAATACAGTTACTCGATGTAGAATAAAGAGAAACCTGGATTTATCGTTCCACCTTCACCTCGACGTGTTTCCTGTGTGTCGAGGTGGAAACAGGACGAAAGAGGAGAGCGGAGGAAAAAAGAGAGGAAGAAAGAGAGTTACAGTAGGCAGGCACACAGTCCCATAAATAACGATAAGACTAATGAATCTTAAGGGTTTACAACGCACAACGCTGATAGCGTATAATTTGTCCGGTTCACCGTAATCATGCTCTATTACGATCGGAAAACAACTGTTTGACGACCGCTGTCTTTTTACTCCGATATTTAATCGCGTCGTTCGACGCGACGCGATGGGTCGCGAGGTTGCTCCAAATAATTTTATTACGCATCATTCGCGTTCGTTTTTGACTCAAATTTCGAAATGAAAGATCGAGCGAAATATTCAAGTCTGCAGTTAATCGTATGTAAAATTACGTTAACTGAATCGATCCGCGATCAAAGGCGCAAAAACTGCTCGGTAGGTGTGACTCACATTTGTGACATAGTAACGAGAAGAAAAACGGAGTCTGATTGTCGATGCGAGACGATGCAAAAACAGAAAAGATTATTATTCTTATTGTTATTCTTTTAATATCTCGAGATCGCGCGATCTACTCGTTACTATAATTATCATCGACGAATGGCAAAGTCGAGTAAAAAAATGTTCACATGCATGAATGAGCATCAAGACCGTAATTACGTATTTTTTTTTCGCGACACTAATAATAACAACACGACCTTTATCGGTTTGATCGAGCGAAATACGCTTCGCACGAAATTGTTACAGCGTTCGCGCGCTCGCCGAGCAGAGAGTTGCCGAAATTCGAAAGCGATTAAATAGTTTAGCTATTCGGTCCTCGTATCGAATTATTACTCTTGAAATTCGTCGTCATTCGGATAATTAGAAAGTTTGAAATTTTTATGAAATTAATCAACGACGAATTACACGGATGAAAAAGCACGCAACTGCAGCACGGCTAATAAAATAAAACAAAGGAACAATTAAAAGGTAAATCGCGGGTAAACAGACGGTGAACGAAACGTTCGATTTTCTTCGCTTTCGATTTTTTCGCCCGGCTAGAAATTCGCCGGTTTTTCAACGCGAACCGCGGCTCGCGGTTCTTCCAAGCGGAAAACCTGGCAAGAAATTGTTCGCTTAACATTGTTGCCGATTAAAGATCGTTTCCCACGATTAGATCTGTCGGATCAGCGAGATCGTATCACCTTGACGACAGATGAAGAAGAACGAACAAGAATCGACGCTCACGTAACCAACGAGAAAAGGAAAAAGCAGACGAAGGAAGTAAGAAAAATAGTCTAAACGTTGCTTTTGATTGCATAGAATCCTTGTCCGATTGCATAAGATAAGTCACGCACCACTTTTCACGGATGCAATTGTCGTAGTTAGAAAACAATTAGCAAAAATTAGCAAAACTAGTGGTAACTCGAGTGGCTCGAGGAAGAAAAGACGACCAGTTCTTCCGCTAATTTGATTCTACACTTCTGTGGCGTTTTATTTTTTGGCGATTCTGTTACAGTCGATTAAGTAATTGTTGAAATTTTCTTATTTGTTTGTACAGCGAAGGATCGTTATATCGGCAATCCCCGATGGAATACCGTGAGTTCGATTATCGCGCCTTGTATCGCGTACAAGGATCCATTACGCCCACGGTTCGCGAATCTATTATAAACATTAACACCTATACCGCGATGGAAAAATTCTCTCTTGGACCTATCATGATTTTTGAACACTTTACAGACGTTAATAGTTGCAAAGAATCGAAGATGAATGTTTACGATTCGTTTTTATTATCGACGATTTGCATTGGAGTGGTCGTTGCAATTAATTTTCAATCAAGGAAGCGGCGCTTCCGAGAAATGAATTGTAAAGGAACGTTTGCTTTTACCTCGCACGGTGAGTTTCAGCATTGTATCAAACGAATTAACCATCACCGATGCCGAGTACAACCGCACAATTACGAAAACATATCCCACCGTTATTAATCTTCCAAGAATGTTTAATTACACGTTCCACGTGCGTTAAATGCGCCCATTTTGCATACGAAGTCGCACGTACGTTTCGGTGACTGATCATTCCGTGTAATTAAAAGCTTGCTCCTTCTGCGTAACGTCGGACAGTGACAAATGATCGTTTATCATGTGCGTAAACAACAAACAAGAACAAAGAACAACTTCAGCAATTAATTCTCGATTTTCATTAGAATTCTACTCGGTTTTATCTACGAGAAATTCAATGGTTCACACGGGAGTATTACGTTATTTAATACTCTTCCTTGAATTAACACTTGTTGCAACCGTAATCATTATCAACATACGGCTGCAACTTGTGTAATTCTTACGTTCTCTGCGCTAATCGATCGGTTATTTTTTCAACGAGAACCGTAAACTTTTTTTAACGCGATTAAAACAACGAGATTATCGTTGTCTTAATTAATAAGTCAACTTTTTCCTTTTTTCCTATGGGCGCAGGGAACTGCATAGGAAATTTATGAGGTCGTAAACGAGGGTCAGGATCGTTTTTCCGAAACTTTCGAGAGGAGCTCATCGAGTTCTCGGTAACGACGATTTGCCGTCCACGAAGGGCGACAATGCCGAACAAGTTTAACGATTACACGCCCGATTTTCTATCTTTCTGTTATCAGCGAAAGAAAGAGAGATTTCTATAAATTTAGCGACAGCAACTCTCTTTCCAACAATTACATTTGAAATTACCAAAAAGGTATAAGGTTTACTTCGAGAAATGTTTCGAAAGTTAACTGAAAGAATATTGTTCGGAAATGATCAGGCAACCCTTCAGATTTTTTCTTCATCGGGGAAAAAAAGTGACTGGAGGCGTGCAAAGTTGAAAAGCGAGGGCTTCGAGTACGTCAGACCGACGGCAAAGAACCTCGAAAAATATATTTCATTATTTATGACCGCCATTAATGGTAATGTTCCGGTCTTCACGGGTCAGGTAAGGTTATATATCAAAGCCCCGTTTAAGATCTAGCAGAAAATCCCGTCGGTTAAATCTGGAAGATTTTCTTGCCACCGGACCAGTTGTAAAACCGAACTCCTGAATGCCTCTTTACGAAACATTTCACGGTGCTAACTCTGGCTTCGTTTTGTCACGGTTCGTATTTGCAATTTAGCGAATACGATATCGGAACAAGGACCGATCTAAGATTATTCGAATTAAATATAGAATTACGCGATTTAATATTAGCCGAGAGAGACTGGTTGAAAGTTTAAAAGAGGTTTTAATCTCGATGCCAAATAAATAAGAGACATACCTTGAAAGGGGTATCCAGTGAAGCAGGGTCGCATCATCGAGAAGTTAGTGGTCACCGTCATTTCAGCGCGTCCGCGCCTCCAGTTTCTCTCTCACAAAACGCCACAAAAGCTCCGTCACAGCACTGTGTCTGCTCCGAAGGAAACAGCGTTTCACCAAAACGTTAATCACGAGAAGCGGCACTGTCCTCCAAGTCCGCGATCGAGAAACTACGAACACGCGTATCCCACTCCTGCCCGGAGGATCACGAGATCGACGAAACTGTCACTATAGAGAACTGGTTCCACTGCGTCGATCAGGATCGCGATCCAACCTCTTCCAGATCCCCACCGTGTTGGCTGGTTTTTGGCCGGGATCCAGACACCTGTCTCCTTCGAAGCGCGAAGTCCTTCGACGACTGAGTTGGACCTCGACAGATCGGTTTCCTGATCCGGACTACCTTGCTCGACCACTCGCCACCAGGGTAACTAATGCTTGGCCACTCCCATCCTGACTTTGTCCAAGTCGAGAGGAAGGTAGGGGAAACAGATCTTCGTACGCTACCAGCCAGCTGGTCCCGGTCACCTACCGAGGACAACGTGCTCCGAGTCGCTTTCGTGCTACCTGTTTCTCGGCTACCTCGACCAATCCATGCTCCGAAAGGTTCACCTAGTCGCGCCCCTGAAGGCACGCCCAGCGGCGCACCGACGGAAACACACGGGAGACGCATGTCTGGAGACCATGCTGCCTGTGGGTGAATTGATACCCGCTTCGATACGATTCGCCACCACTGGAGGGGAATCGACCAAGATCGCTCGCAACTGGAGGGTGTTCATTCGACGAACGGTGCTTTTCAGGGGTGGCTCCGATTCGCCGCTACAGTTTTAGGCCGATCGTTTACGTTGCAATTTATTTTTCAATTAACCGAACAAAGTAATTTTCTTGCCAACACTTTTTTTCAACGATCACGGTTTTTTATTCTGCCAAATCATTTTTCGGTAAGCTGGATCGAATTATTTTTTCGAGCTGTGCTAGCACTCGGACCGATATCTTCTTTGTCGAGAGTTTTCGAAGGTACGATTTATACTTTCTTTTATATATTTCTCGATAAATTCTACCGGTTTAGTTCTGAACGCTCTTCGGGTTCGATGGCAAGAAGGAAAATGTATAGGTTCATTGCAAGAGTTGAGCCACGTATTAGAGCGGCAACGAATTAAGCAAGCGACGAGCACAAATAACGCGATCCGTTCTTTGTCTAAATTCCCTAATTGTGTCGGTTATTAACGCATGAGCAGAGATCACTGACTCCTAGCTTTCGCTTTTTAGGCTTACCATTTTTTCCGACAGAGGAAATGACGATGCTTCGTTCGAAACAGGACGTGACAGCTTGTACACACGGTGAAAAAACTAATTGATTGTTCAAGCAATACCTTTAGCAATAATGTTCGAGTAAAACAATCTAACCTCCGATAAATCGAGCACTTTACAAAACATAAACTCTACCTTCTAAAAGATATTCAGACGTGTACGGTATATTTTTCGTTCGAGACTTCTACAAAAATTACACCCACCTTGAGCAGTCTAACTGTCCGATAGTTAAAGTATTTTGGATTTCGAAGAGTGTATCGACCAAGCCGAAGCGACGATTCGTTCCACGGACAATCTAGTGATGAAAGCGTAGGAAAAGCCAGAAAAAAAAGGGCGATCTTCGTATTGTTCCAACAACGAGGAGAGTAGGCATGAGCCGCTGATGTCCCATCAATGTTTATTATCGTTCTGTTTGTTAGGACCGGTGCGTTCCGTAGCGCGAAAATGGCCAAACAGAAGGCTGTCGAAGAAGAGGGCACACAGTGCGGCGCGAGAGGTGGCGGAAAAGCGGAAGGAAACTGGCCAAGGACCACCCGGGGTCGCGTCCTGGCCAAAGTAATACGGCGTTACTTTTAACGGAGAGGAGCCTGACCGATGGTGTCCCGCGGCGAGGACAAAACAAACTCCCTAATGTCTTCATGCTACTCATCGCGGACCATCTTGCACGGGGATGACGAGGAGAGAACTCTGTTCAGCAGCCCTCGTCGTCCACTCTCGTAGCCAGTTGGTAGCTGCTTCGAGGATTACCGCGTACCGAACTGAGGCTGCTTCAAGGTCGCGACGAGATCGTCACGGTATCGTCGAGGAATATCGTCGTCGCTGATGGCCGAGCGTGAACGGAACAATTCAGGGGATGGATGAAGACGTAATTGATTTACGGGGATGCTTTTCTCCCTCTACCGTCCGGTTATTTCGGGATAAAGGACCCGATTCTCTGTTTGTTTTCAGGGTGTCGGTGGTGACAGGAGATGTCCTCTTCAACGACTGTTTCTGCCCAGAGACGCGACGCGTTTTTGCCCAATCGACGAACAGATACGTTCGCTTATCGTTCACGATTCTAAGAGCACGTGTAATTTTATCGCGGTAATTGACCTAGTGGAAATGGACGCGAGTAGTCAGACCGAAATTCTAGATTAGATTTTTATAATTTTTCCAAATGCAGAAGCTACAAGGAATCAAGTACATCGTATTGCAATCGTCTATCGATCCTTCATCGTCGGTTATCTGGCGATCGGTACCAATTTATTATCGATAACTTCTAATTATCGCGTACTCGACACTATGTATCTCGCTACCAGCAATTTGAGCAAAAAAAACTGACGATGTAACCGATCCCGACATAATATCGAGTGCGAGAGAAAAGAAATTAAAAACACCACCCCCCTATTGACGCAAGTGTAAAACAGCGTAGAGAGATAGGTATCTGGGCTCTCATGGGGAGCCATGAAAGGGGGCGTGTAGTCAGGAACCCGCAAATAAATGCAAATTGCTTCAGAGCTCCGATCCGCCTACCTGACAACGAGCACAACAGCGTCGGGAACACCGTTACGCCGTAAATAATCCACCCTCTTCGAGCATCGAACCCCTTCCTACTCTTCTTCTTCGTCTTCTTCTTCTTCTTCGTGTGCTCGCTACGCTCTTCCATTCATCGCGAACAGCTCGATGTGTAAATAAGGGATCGTAAATATCCGGCAGGCTGTATAATGGATCCACATGAAGACGCGGTTTGATGCTAGAAGACCGTAAATCATCGGTTGCCGAGGTTCCAGGGAATCGAGCACCGACGACGATCTGAGAAACTGCGGTTTCAGGACTCTCGGTGTTTGCGGTCGACTCGTTCATTGTTCGTGGCTCTTATTGGCCATCATTTCGACCCCATCGTGTTACCGACTAGTAAAATATGGAAGGAATAAACGAAACGGTCGAGAGAATCGACGGTGAATAGAAAAATTACAAAGATGGATTACACCGAAAGGGTTAACGTCGACGGGGTTAAATAGAAACGACGAAATGCAAATAGAACGTTTGCTAGTTAATTAATTAGGTGAAATCCCATTTCGTTAGGAAAATACGATGGAAGATAATCGAAGGAAGAATGTCAAAGCAGAGGCGAGTCGCTTCTTTGACCAAACCACTGGTCGCCATCGAAATTCTTTACGGAGCACAATGAGATCGATCTCGACACGAAGGGCCACGCAGCAGCTTCCAAAGGAGTTGATTTTTTGCCAACAAACAACCCGACTATCGGGGATTCTTTGTCGGTCCACAAGAAGGGATTTCAATGCGACTTTGACGAGGATGTTGACAGATTCACAACAGCAAGACCGTAGGGGGTTCTCGACTACACTGTCTTGTTGTTTGTCGGTAGTCGATTTGTGTAGCTTCGAGAATGAGAAAAAAACGAGTTTGACGTAGCCCCTTCGTTTCGTCCAAACTCTTAATTCAAAAAACATACTGAGACTCTTTTAATCGGTAAAGAGTCATCAAAAATATCGACTCAAAAATTTTCTTCGATCGCTTCGACGTTTCCGATGTCTTTAAACTTTGAATACGTTAACGAAGAGTGCAAAGTCGATCGAGCGCGAACAGCGCGAATCTTCGGGAAAGCGAAAGAAGCAATTTTGTTCTACTTCGTTGGCTCTTCGACAAGAAGCCTTCGACAGAAGAAGAAAAGGACGGTAACAGACAGACAAAATCGTGTTTCCCGTTCTCTGGCAAAAAAAGAAGATTAAGAAGTTGTTTCTTCGTTCGCGACAAGAGTCGTGACAACATCACAGCAGCAGCCCTTCTAGTTTTTTCCAAGTTCGGCTCCCGCCAGGATAGCTTCAAAGCAACCCCGTCAAGGATGTTGACGGCCAGTCAGCGGGATGTACCGTAAACCAGAAAACTTCCACCGTCTTAGCTGGAAAAGCTCCTGGAAGTTACGAGTCCGAGCCAGTAGGTAGTACCAACCGCGTTAAAGCCTAACTTTTGGCCACTTCTCGTCACGGGCCTACGCAGCTTTCGACGGCCAAATTATTCGGGCCTCCTTTCATCGCTCAGTGGCGTAACAAAGATTGTTCTGCACAGCTATTATGAGCAAAGTCGATTTTCTCGACAAAATTCTACCATCCTTTTGTCGTTTATTCACCTGTCTAACCATTCTTTGCGATTCTCTTCGTTCCTCCTATACAAGATGTCGATAAAGAATTGAAAGAAAATTATGCAGAAACTAATTCTTTCTAATAAGTCTTGTTCTCGCTATCTTCCTTCGAGTATAGACATGTGGACTATTATAAGTATCGTAAGCGAAGGAGTGTCAGAGTCCGACAGACTGGACGCTTACGAAATCTCTATATTGGTGGTTCCACGAAGATTCTCTTCAGCGAAATCATAGAAGAGGGAAGGAAAAGAGGAAGGAAGGAAGTTGGTAAAATTTGTGTAGGTCGGTTCCAGGTCCGGTCGTAAATCTGACGCAGATCGAATCGGCTATTGTGCGACGATATTTCGCGCGAGGAAGGACGAAGGAAGGCATGATGGCTATACGAGGATGGCAGTAAACTCATCATCCCTGATATACGACTGGAGGATCGACTGATCGTTTGGCTCGAGATCCACGCCAGCTTTTAACGCGTTATTACTGCCTTATTACGAGCTGTTCGTCCTCGTCGACGATCGAGAACACCGACGATTTTCTGCAACCTCTCGTCCAGCTTCGAGAAACTTGGAATATTTTTATTTTCCTCGACCAATGGGTGCTAATATTCTCGCGTAAAATATACATCGAGAGATAAATAGTGCATGCGCCGTAACAATCGTAATTTGCACCCGACTTTTAAATATTTCACCACGCGATTATCAATTTTGCACAATTTCGTTTAGAGAAAGTTGCGTTTCTTGCGTATTCCGATTAAATTCGGAACTAGTTCGGAATTCTTATTGCATTAACAAAAAAAGGGGCGGAGTTTATTTATTTTATATTCGGCGATTTCACTTTGCGTAATTTACATCTTAAATGTAATTAACGATAAGCAACAAATCTCGCGGCACTTTGTCGCGGGCAAAACTTTCGAAACGCATCGATTTATCGGATTTGA